TCAAAACGATCCCTCCTCAAAGGCTCCAAGGGGTGCACAGTGCTAGTCACACAGCACCAACACTGTGTTGGGCATTACAAGTAATCTAGAGATGATTTGAAGGGAGGAGGCATGTAAGTTACCTGCAAATATAATACAATGTTATATAAAGATCTTAATCATCCTTGGATTGGGGAATCCTGGGGCATGGTGGGGGGGGCTGTTTGGGAGCCAACCTCATCCCCTTGGATTCTGAGGGTCAACTATACACCCTAATGGGATACCTCCTAAAGACAAAAAGGACCTTTCAGAATTGTTACACTGCAGTGGTCTGCTGGTGGACTGATGCTCAAAACTGGCACTACACATACAGATGCCAGCACGGCCAGTGGCACTGGTCAGTGTGGTCAGCAGGCTGGGTTGGGGCCAGGAGCAGAGAGGAAGTGAACAGCCATCGGAGACGGCAGCCCTGCCCCTACCCAGCAGAAGTGGGGACCACGACAGGGAGCGGACTGAGGAAGCCTAGACCCTGTGGGACTGGGGATGACACCCAGGCACAAACAGAACGAGACACCCATTCATAAGTGCATCGCACAAGGGTGAGCCTGGACTGGCCTCCAGCCCCATAGAGGTGCTATGGGGTGACTGGCAGAATGTGGGTGTGGTGAAATGAGAGTACATTGGGGTTAGTTCTTGTCTTGAGGGTTCTGCTGTGGCCATGTGGGTAAGTAACCGATTTTGAGGGCATACAAGCTCGGCATTTCATGGCGGAATGGGGCATTATGGTGATAACGCGTCTTCAAATCCTTCAGGTACACACACGTGCAGAAAGCGATAGGCAAATGTGGGAGAAAGGTACTCAATTGGACAGCTGGGTATCTGCAACTTTTCCTAGTTTGGATTAGAAGGCTCAGGAGCTAAAAAGGCGTCCCCCTGGCCAGAAAGAGGACATCTTCGCGCTGAAGAAATACAACTGCCCCGCCTGAGAAGCCCGGCAGCACAGGAGACACAGAAGCTCAGTCGAGGCAGGAGGTTGCCAGGCCCCAACTCATCGTTGAGAAGAGGCAGAGATGGCGGGACAGCACCGAGCACCTGCCCTTCCTCTGCTGTGGCCAGCTCAGGGGCAGCAGGTGCTGGGGGTGGGAGGGCACTCCGGGCCACAGGAGATCCCAGACTGGACGAGGACAGAGCTGGCATCCCCACTCCCGGCCTGAGGGAGTAACGGGTGTGGGCCATGGCACCTCCGGTGGCAGGCTAGTGGAGAACATGCACACCAGCACCAGGGGAGGCCCCTGTCCACAGAGAGAATCCAGACACAGTGTCCACTGCAGAGGGTGAGTCTGGAGCGGGCATCCGGAACACCAGGATGGGTTGTTCACGTGGGGCAGGCAGGGCAGTGTGGGCTCGCTTTTTAACTTTCAGACAAAGCGTTTACTTTCCAAAGTGATTAAAACTGCTTGAGATGTTTTTCAAAATGATGGGGAACAAGGCCCTCCCAGGGATGTCCCACAGGGGTACTGAGACTGCGAGGCCCTCAGGCATCACCTGCCCTTTGGGAAGGTGATTCAACTCCATGTTTTCCTTTTGGACGTGACAAGCCCACACAGACGGAGCCGACGCTGTCCATGGTAAGCCTGTGGGCAGGCTGCACCTGCTGGGCCGCATGCCTGCAGCCCTCAGGCCACTCCGACAAGAAAAGGTCTGCAGTCAGCCGTCAGGAGAGGCCCCACACCAGCCCGGCCCCTCAGGAGGGGGAAGGTGCCACCACCACAGCCCTGCTGAGAAATAAAAACCGGGGCCCCAGCCCCTCAGCTCTCAGCCCTCCTCTAGGCAAGGAGAGGGACAAAGGGCCCGCTGAACAGTGGAGGAGGTCAGGTTCACTTTTCCTGTCCTGCTCACGTGCCCCGAGACCAGGCACGCCCTCCGCCCGCCTACCTTCTCATGCTTCGTGGGCACGGCACTGAACGTGCAGGCAGATCTGGAGTCCAGGCCCTTCTCCGGCCTCAGTCCAGCCTGTGAGAAACCAGTGGGCACCAGTGGGTGGAGGGGGAGGCATAGTATCTCACTTAGATCTCCCAGTGGCTCTCAGGCACAGCTGCTCCCATTAGGCACCTAGCTCAAGGTTGCCCAGCTCTGTCACTGTCCTCCACAAAGGACACCTGAGGGGCCAGCACTGAGACCTGCGAGCCCTTGGGAAGGACCGCCACAGCCCACCAGAAGTGACGATGACTCCCAAGAGGGCAGCAGACAGGCAGAAATGCATTTGTTTGCCTCTTAAACCTGCCCCCACCCCTGCACATGCAACATACAAACAGACACACACACCCTGCCTTTGATAAACATTGCCTTTGCATTTCCAGCATTAACTGGAGAAGGTAAGCTGCTAGAACATTCCAGTCCCTTAACCCTCCTGAGAGGTAAAGAAAGCTCCTTATCAATTCAGTATTGCTGAGGGGAAGCCAGCTGACACCACCACTTGGGGGGGTGGGGGGCGGGCACAGAGCAGCGCCCGGCTCTCGTGAAGCCCAGGCCTGGGAAGTGTCCCACCCTTACTTGGCCAGGCAGAACTGGCCCCAGAGCTCTCGATGACAAGTCCCCTGGCTCAGTGGGAGAGACGGGGCCCACCTGTGCCGTGGCTGGCTGAGCGAGGGAGAACGTCTGGTACTTGAAGGGGATGTGGGCCGTCTCCTTGGGCCGCAGGTAGAGCTGGGGGGCCAGGCTGCCACCACGCACATGGAACATGTCCTCCTCCACAGGCGTGAGCAGGCCGGCTGCATTCTTGAAGTACCGCCACTCGCTGCTGTCCAGGATGACGCTGGAGGGGAAGGGGACACTGAGCCAGTGCTGTATAGGAGCACACACCCCACCCCACTCCCATACACACACACCAAGCTGGTCCTCATAGCAGTGGGAACCAATGTCCATGAGTCACCTCTGACCCACAGCCACCCAAGAGGAGCAGGAGCACCCAGCGCCTAAGGTAGCGGTTCTCAATCTGTGGGTCACGACCCCTTTAGGGGTTGAATGACCTTTCACAGGGGTTGCCTGATTCATAACAGTAGCAAAATCAGTTATGAAGTAGCAAAGAAAATAATTTTATGGTTGGGGGGGGTCACCACAACAAGAGGAACTGTATTAAAGGATCACAGCATGAAGAAGTTTGAGAACCACTGTCGTAAGGGTTTTCAACAGCTGGTTTGGGTGGTGTGGAGGCCTCTCCAGTCACCTCTGGGTAGACTTGAACCGCCAACCGTTTGGTTAGCACCTGCTGTGTGAACCATCTATACCACCCAGGGGCTAGTAGGTCTGCGTCGGGAGCCTGCGCCCGCCCACCTGAGCTCAGGGCTGTCGATCTCAATGGACACCGTGTGCTGCGTGTTGTGGGGGTTCTTCAGGGCAAACTCGAAGAACTCAGCGGCGCCCAGGGCAGCGTAGAGAGTGTGCTGGGTGGTGATGGCCTGGCTCAGCAGGCCAGCGATGCCCTCCGCCTTCGTGCGCTCGCGGTAGGCCTCGATCACCCGCAGGTCCCGCGAGTGCTGCACGCGGACACTCTGCTGCGCCTGTGGGCCGGTATATGGGGGTCTGGCTTGGGGTTCCAGGGCCCCAACAACCAGCCCTCCCACTCTTCCATGTAGGATGCGGGGACAAGGTCACCCCTGCTCTCCCTGCTCTTTGTCTTCGGTGCCCTCAGTCACTCACCTCCACCTGTCTGCCAACATCTCTGCTCCCCGGGGGCGGGGGGCGGGGTACGACAACTCTCACGCATGCTCCTCCCACGGTGACCCCCACTACAAGAACCCCTCCACTGAGATGCTCACCAGCACACTGCTCCTCCGGCCGCCCAGCTCCTCCCCCGACTCCCGCAGACGCACTGACCGCATCCGCTCCAGCTTGCGCCTGCGCACAGCGTCCGACTCACGGCCAGCAACCGGGAGGTTCCGGCTCCCCGTCTGCATGTGCGTGACCAGCATGGCAGCCAGCTCACTGTCCACGTCGGCCAGCTTCTGGGCCTGCACCACACGTTTTCCTGCTGAGGGATACACAGGAGGGTCGGAGAGCTGTTCCCAGACCTGCCTGCCCATCCTCTCCCTCTGACAAAGCTCCCCTCCTCCGAGGTCAGTGCCCCCTGGTCTGCAATCCTCCACGTACAAATATTCATTAATACTCCATGGTGTGACTGACTAGGACAAAGGTCAGGGCTTGGGGGCTTCTGACCCTTAAGAGTTTCCCAAAACTGGCCTCAACGGGGGCCGCCCCCTCTGCTGAAAGGTCTGTTTCACCCCGGGGCAAGGGAGGCACCAAGAGCCCCCACACCACTGACCCCAGCACCACTGTGTGCTCTCAGACAGTCTCCCGTGGGGATTCTTGAGTGCCAGATCCCAGTTAAAATCAAAGGCCTTAAGAGCTGATGCCCCAGAATGCCCCAGACCCATGGCCTGATGTTCAGGCTGAAGGAAATCCGCTGAGGCCGGCCCTGCCGCCCTCCTAGGCCTCTGTGACTGTGGCCCCTGGCTTCCAGGGCAGCCTGTCTCCTTTGGAGCAGCTCTGCTGAGTCCTGGGTGCACATGAGTGCTCTTTAGCAGCTCCGAGAAGTCAAAGGGAGCCTGCTGGCACCCACAGGTGTGAGACCAGCTGCCCCAGAACACTGCTCCATTTTCTTCCGAGACCCAGTGTGGAGCGAGGGGGGCAGCAGAGCTGTGCTGGAGACAAGGCCACGCGCCACACCTGTGACATCACAGCTGACACTTCAGGTCCACTGAGAAGGGATGGCCCAGCCTAAGCCTGGGGGTGGGTGGGCATCAAACGCCAATGCAGGTCCGCCCCGGGCCCCTCTCTCTCATCCTCAACCACAGCTGCACGCTGACACTTCCACCTGCGGGGCACCATCTTCCTCCCCTCAGGGCTCCGCCACAACTCTACCTGGATGCCTTTCAAATGCATTGAGTTGGTTATGGTACCTTAAACGGCTGCCCACTGAGCACTTTGCCCATCTCTGGGTGTGGGGAGGAAGGAGTCCAGCTCAGGATCATGCCAGCTGCCCTGGGGTCACCCCAGCTACTGCTCTCCTAGTCTTGGGAAGCCAGAAGGAAAATTCTGCCAGAATGGCAGTATAGGGCTGCACCCCCTGAGCGGCGGGAAGCCCCAAGCAGCAGGCTAGATGTCATGTAGTCCTCAGTTCGAGCCTCGCCCGGTGGTGAAGGTGAGCTTTCCTGGGGCAGCCTAGCCACTCAGGGTCTACGCAGATGCTCACGGTTCTGGCCCCTGGACTGCTGCCCTGACCACCTGGCCCTATGGTTGTGGGTTTTATTAATAACGGCAGTCTTGTTCCTGGGGTGCTGGGCCACCCCGCTGAGACGATACTCCATTCTCCTGGTCAGAGGCTTTGCTCCCACCAGCTGGGATGGAGACATACTGACCACAAAACATAAAGTCCAGGTTCTACTCAGGCTCAACTCACCTAGGTAACTGAGCAGGTCAAGGGCCCTCTCTGCCTCCGTTTCTCCAATATTAACAGGAGACTGTACAGGACGGATGGATGGTCAGCCCCCCCTCCCAAGAGCCTGTGCAATGACACTCCAACTTCTGTCTGGGTCTCCAGGATCTTTCCAAGGACTCCACACCTGGTCACCACCCACAGGTGGTCCACAAGGCTCTCCCAGTTCCCAGAAGTCCTAAGTTGGTCTAGCTCTCCTGGGGTGCTCTAACCCTCCATGGCTGTCAGCCCAGCAACACAAGGAAGCTCCGGGTGGCTTTGGATAGACAAATGATTGCAGCATTTGGGGAAATGCTCCTTAAAGGGCACGTCCCACTTCCAGTGCAAACAAGAAGGATTTCACATCCCGGATCATCGCAAGGGGATGCGTGTTGTGGCGAGAACAATCGCCAAACCAAGTTCTTCTTTTCGCAGCTTAGTCATTGGGTTAGCCCTCCTCCTCCCAACATGGAGGGGCCTCACATCCACTTTTAAGAACCCCTCTGTGTTCTCCCTGATCTTTTCTTCAATTCTTCTTCCCCAGCAGGGTAGCAGCCACCCAAAAACAAATGCCTCTCAGAGAACAAATTCCCCATGACAGGCAGGCAGGCCTGTTTCTACCGATGCCAGCTGGGTCAGCGGGGTGAGCCCCAAAGCTGAAGCCAGGCAGCCCCACCCTCAGACCTGGAGTCACATCCATACCCACACCTCTCCTAGACCACCGCCTACTCTCCCCACTCACGTCTTGGGGAGCCTCTGGCAAGGAGGCTGCCTCCTGGGAAGCCGCTGGTCCCGTCATTGGAGATGACCCTCGACCTGGATGGTGGCAACGGGCCGGACTGTCTCCCACTCTGCTTACATGCATGACCTAAGACATACCCCAGCACAAAAGATGAGTCAGGTGAAATTAATTCCCCAGGGTCACCATCTCCCAAACACCCAGTCAGTGCCACACCACATCCTGGGCCCCACCTGACTCTGCGTCCTGTTTGCAGCTGGGAAGTGGCAAATTTCCCTTGGACTTATTTCCCTTGAAGGGCTTCTATGACCATTGGGTTTTGTGTTAACTTGGCTGGGCCAAGATTCTCAGTTAGGACCCCCCACATTGTCTGCCAACCCTGGTAGCTCCCAGTGGCCTGACGTATTGCCTGCCAACTTTGACATCATTCGACTCTGCAGCCACAGCCTGGCTGGCTGGCCTTGCATTTATTCCACCTGTCCTTCCGCCAGCCTGTGGACTTCCTGCTTCCTGGTTTGTCAGTCCCAGCAGTTACACGTGTCAGAAAAAGCCTCCAGCCTAACACCTAACCAGACTGGAATGACCTAATTCTACACCTGTGCAAGCCACTTTTTTGATAGAAATATCTTTCTTTGTACATATACGATTTATACACCCCACTGGTTTTGCTTCTGTAGAAAAGCCAGCCTAACACAGCTTCCCAGTCCACTGAGCTGACTCCCGGCCCCTCACCAGCTGCCCTGCTTCCCAGTGGGTGGTGTTGACACTGAGTCTTAATTCCTGGTCTCGGGCTCAACCCCAGGAGGCTCACCAGAGGGGCTGCTTCCCAGCCACAACACCCAGCCCTCTGCCGAAGTTACCATTGGGGAGGTCTTCATGCGTTCCACATGCAAGTGTCTGACTCCAGCTACAGCATGGTGGTCAGAGGTCCAAGTGGAATCGTCATGGGAGGCATGGTGCCTAGGCACCGGGGTTAACAGCCTGCTCACTCAGCCAGGTGTGGGGAACCCCAGGGCACATGAGCGAGGGCCGTAGGTGGGCTTCCCGTAACTGGGTAAGGAAGGTGTCACCCCACAGTTATGTCTTGGTTCACCTATCCGCCCCAGGTCACGTGGGAAGCTCTGGGACGTTCCGTGGGGTGTGCCCAGTGGCCACTGGGGAGGCTGGTCTTCAGGGAAAGCTGGATGCTGGTGCAGAGTTATAGCCAGTGTCCTCGTACTGGCATCGCCTCATCTTCTGGTTTGATGACATGTCAGGAGGTCACTCTTTCTCTCCCAACACCTTCATGTGCTTCCATTGTTGGGGTGGTGGGCTGCTCATGGGCACCCACCCACTTCCATCTGGCCAACCTTGTCATCGTTGCTTTCTCCATGAGATGTTCCAGGACCCCTCTCTGCGGCACTCGGTCTCCTCCCTCCTCCGAGTCCACTCCTGGCTAGACGTCATCACCCCCACCCCACCCCACTCCAAAGGAAGCAGCCAGCGTTGATGTCTGGAAATATCAGAAAATATATTCTCTTTCCTCCTCCTCGGGGCGATCCGACTCTGACCATCAGCAAGCCGCTCATTGTCCGAGGATCATGAGTCTGTCCTGAAAAAGCCCCTTGTATGGGAAGCCTCCCACCTCGCACGGCCTGTTTCTCTTCTGGGTCAAAGGAAGGTCAAGGTCTGGAGCAGGATGGGAATTTGGGCTCACCTGCTCCTCAGCCCACACTTCCATCTTTCACCACCGGGCAGGTACCAGCAAACACACGGTGAGCAGGGAATGGCCCGTGGCCTCGGAGAACCAGAAAAGGCACATCCAGGTGTGACGGAGCAGAATCCTCACGGCCTTCCACAGGGACCCCAGTTCCTGGGCTTCCAACCCACAATCCCCATTGGTTCAGGGGCCTTGCTCCCTGTGCTGCTTCCCAGAGGGTCTGGCTTAGGGTGGCAGGCCCTGCCCCACACCAAGGAGCCAGCTGCCCCGTTACCTGCAGATGCTGCTGACATACGGCCATCTGCCCCCACTCTTGGCCAGCACTGGGGTTCATCCTCTCTGACAGAGGCCTGGGGATCGTCTATAGCTTTCTCAGCCACCTTGACCCAATAGTTTATGGTGAGGTCTCACAGCTAACAGAAATGACCACTGGCCCTCAGAAGGCCTGAAAGCAGGTTCCCCTCTGAGGAGCAGACAAAATCCACTGCAGCATCAGACTGGGTCTGGGTAACTCACATGGCACGTGGCCAGCAGCGACATAGACAGAAGAGGGGTGTCCATACAGGTGCTTCTGACATGAGGGGCATGCCCTGGGTGGCCGGGGAGAAGTGTGTATATTCACACAGGGCAGGATGGGGCAGTGATGCTGACACCCTCAGGGTATCCACAGCTCTCCTCGCCTGAGTCCCACTCCCTGTGGGAACACCCTTCACCACGGCAGTGCTCTGGCTTGACCCTTGGTCATCTGTCCACGCCCTGCAGTACATGCTTCTCCATGTTGTGTGGGGCTTGCTCATGCGTGTCCGTCCCCTGAGAACGGTCCAGGCCCTGTGTCCCTGGAGTAAGTGACAACAGAGCTACCAGCCAACCATCGTCCCGCTTCACAGTCATAGTCCTGGGAGCCAAAAAGTCATCACCATCTCAGCAATCCCTAAGACAACAAGGCATAAGACGAGAGGCCACCAAGCCATGCACCCCCACCCCAGGGGGAGGGGTCCTGGGCGGCTCTGGCCATTTTGGTCTCAGGTATGACTTTCAGGTAAAAATGCCAAGGAGCATCATCGGGGGCAGGGACTGGTTGCCCAGGACCTCGGCCTGGCTGCGATTCTCTGCTGTCCTGGACATGGACACAGCCCTCATCCAAGCTGCTGGCAAGCTCCTATGCTCAAACGCCTAATGACCGATTTTGTGTAGAAATAAAGATCACGACCCTTCCTCCCCACGTCAAAAAAAAAAAAGCCAAGTCTACCGCGGAAACCAGAGCACGCTCCGAGAGCCAGTCCGGCATCTGGCGCCTGTCCTTGGCTAATCTCCCTCCACGGGCTGCGCCAGCCTCTCCAGCAGGGGCTCGCCGACTCTCTTCCCTGGAAGCTTATCTCACTCTTGCAGGCAAAGTATGAAAATGACGATTTAAGATAGCGTATAATGGAGCTAATCTTTCTTCTGCAGATAAGATTTGGGAACCTGGAGTCACTGCACATTTGTGGGCTGTGGAATTAAATGTGAGAATACCTGGCCCAGGCTCGGAAACAGAAGGCGCCTTGCAACGCCACGGCCGCCGCCACCGTTGTCGACGGTGCTTTTGAATTACGTCCGCCGCTCACATGTGGCTCATTCATTTCTCCAGGCCCTAATTGAGTTTTGCTGTTCCCGTATTGTCTACTTTGAAAGCGGCCTCAGGTTTTACATTTGTAAACAAGCAGCCGGACCCCCGCTTCTCCCGCTCCTTTCCCCAATGAACTGTGTGCTGGCGCTCCTGGCTGCGCCTGCGCAGTGGGCCCCGGTGCACAGACACACAGAGCGGTCGAAGGGCCTCGAAGGCTTGTTGTCCGGCTGGGACGGGAGGCAGGAGAATTCCCGAATAAAATTCCCGAAAACGGGAACGTTGGGGGCCATCCAGCCCAGGCTCCAGATGCTTCACGCAGCTGTGGTTTGTTGTTTGGGGTGTTGCCAGGAAAAAGCCCAGTCCTTCTAGACGTCCCTCGAGGAGGCCCACGGGGTGGGTCCCTGTTGGCCCCGCAGAAGGCATGCCTGGCTCCCTGCTGTGGTGCCCCCGGCCTCACTGCCAGCCCGTCATGTCAGGGCCTCAGTCAAAGTCTCTAGGCCATCTCAGCAGGGCCGTCCTGAGGCACATGTGGGGGCACCCAGGCCATGGCGCTGGAGTCAGGGCTCAGCATCGAGGATGAGCAGCCAGGCGGAGCGAGCACTTCCACTCTCCTGTTCCAGTGTGCAAACACTTAGGGCTCTTCTCTTTTCGCCCCTCCTCCAAGGGAACCAGATGTCTCCTGCTCACGTGCTGGGGCCGTACAGAGATGGCCCAGGAACAGCACCAAGGCACCAAGACCCAGTGGACTAGTGCTCTCCAACCCCATCAGAAATGAGCTAGAGAGATGCCCAGTACTCGGTGCCCATCAGACTCTCTGGGGCCAAGGTCAGACTCACTGGCTAGAGTCCAGAGTCTCGGGACCAAAGGTCAAGTTCTCAGTGACCAAGGTCAAACTCCCAAGGACCATAGTCAGAAACCAGTGACCAATGCCAGGCTCTTGGTTATCAAGGTCAGGTTCTCAGTGACCGATGGCAGACCCTCAGAAGCAAAGGGCAGGCTCGCAGGAGCCAAGGTCAGACCCTTGGGAATGCGTGAGACCACACTCGGACTGTGCCTGCCCCCCAGGAGCTGGTGTTCTAGCAGGGGAGACGCATTGCCCAGAAACCACACCGGACAGCAAGGATGCTGGGCTCTTACCCACGTTGGCCAAGGTCAGGTGTAGCCGGCCCTTCACCACTGTGTGGACACCAATGGGCTTGACACTGCCAAACCGGGTCACATCTCCACTGACCACCTCCACGTCCTGCTCACACTCTGTCGCCACCACCTCGAGCTCATGGGAGACCTGGACAGCTGGCCGCCCTTGGCGGAGGAGGTGCTGCATGAGAAACGTGTGCTCATAAGCCAGAGCAGGGCCATGGCCACCTCCAGGTGCCCCCATAGGCATGAAGGAGCTCCCCACCCACCATGGGGAGGGGGGGGGGCGGTCACATATCAGTGTGAGAAGGAAAACCCAGATGTATACACCAGCCAGAAACCACGGCTTCTTGGAGCCTGAGATCCTGGACGTTAATAAAATACAACCGGGGCCACCACTGAACCAGCATGGCTAGACACCAGGGCACAGGCAGCAAAGCAGCCACTGGGAGGAGCCACATGTCCAAGAGGGGATGTGTCCAGTCATCAGCGTCTAGAGCAGAGTGTGAGCCCCGATCTCTCAGAATGGAGACGAGCCTGCAGGGCAGAGGGACAGACTGGACAGTGGGCCAGGCTGAGGCTCAGAGCCAGGGGACATCAAGTGGGCTCCAGTGAGGCTGAGAGACAGACTTACAGGGCAGAAGGGGTTCATGAGGGGCAGCAAGGAGACAGGTCCCATGTGGTACAGAGGCCAGGAGGCAAGGATGTCCACACCAGGCCGATGGAGCTGCCAGGGGCTTTTACCGGAGCTAAGAAGGCTGGGCAGAGGACCCACATTCTTGCCTTGGTCCCAGACCAACCAAGCTCATCCTGGCCATGGAGCTCTGCCCGTCCTGGACAACCAGGGTCCAACCTGCTTGTTATGTCTGCAAAGAGAACTCCCCCCCCCACCCCCAAGCTACTACACAACCACTTGGGCCCAGCTCACCCGGTCTGGATTTCATACACACACAAATAAAGGAAGGAGCCAGTCAGTCAGCAGTGACTGGTGGAGAGAGTCTGGCAGCTAGAGAGAGGACCCGTCAAAGGAAGGAAGCGCGGAGTCACTGTAGCTGCTCCCAGCTCAGCAGAGCACCCGTGGGGAAGGGTGCGAAACATGCACACAGGATCCTGCAGCTGAGGACAGAGGTCCTTTCCTTCCTGAGTCATCTCAGCAGTCCACTGGGCACTGCCAGGCGGGGGTCAATCAGGGACAGGACGAAGGAGCGAGAAGGAAGGAACACACCCCCAGCAGGCAAACTCTGACTGGGCAGGGTGGGTGGGGCCTGGGAGCCAGCATGAGAAACGGGAAGAGTCTTCCAGAGAGAGGGAGCCACAGGGCAGAGACCGGGGAACAAGGAAATCAATGCCAGGCTGGTCAGAGCCCAGGTGCGGGCTGTCACCAGGCCGCCTTCCTGGCCTGCCCATCAAATGCAACCCCTCAAGCCTCTGAGGTAGCAGCAGCAGCGGGGGAGTCACAGTTGGGGTGCAGGCCAGCCGGGACACCCCTTAGCTGTGTGGCAGTCCTACCGGAAACTAGGAGCATGAGGCAAGATGACCTCAAGCCTCCCCCATGCTCTCCCTCCGCTTAGTGTTCCGCTCTGGGGGTGGCGGGCCCAGACCCCCATCCTTCAGATCTTGCCATGAAGCCTGCAGGTCTGTGATCAAAGGACCTCAGTGCTGGCTGTGGGGAGACGTCTCTACGTAAGAAACGTCGGAACACACGTAAGAAACAGCGTTCAGCCCATCAGGAAGCAAACACATGAATGCAAATGGAGCCCAGGTACCGAATCCCCCCTATCACAAATGCAACGGTTCTATAAAAGGCCCCTGCCTCATAGAGCCTGGCGTCCTTCCCCAGGGGCTGGTCTCTCCTGATAACGTGTCCAGAGTGCGGAGGAGAGTCTCCCGTACTTTCTTCTGAGGAGCGTTCTGGCTGCATTTCCCAGGCAGCTGTGTCGGTGGGCATAGCTAACATTCTTTGCCACGTCCTCATTCAAAGGCACCAAATCTCCTTTGGTCTCCCTGGTTCACTGGCCAGTTCTGGCACGCATATGAGATGAATGAAAATATCAATGGCTCGGGTCCTCAGAGTGGCACTTCTGCTTTGTAAGGCTTTAAAAGAGGCCGTTCGTTGCAGATGTACCCGATGCAGTATTTGTCATTTGGTTTCGCGGCTGCTGCTTCCATAGGCATTGATCATAGATCTAAGAAAAATGGAATCCTGGACAACTTCAGTATTTTCTGTTTCTTGTGATGGTGCCGCTGGTCTAGTTGTGAGGATTTGTTGTTGTTGTTGTTTTTGTTGTTGTTAAGGCTGAGGCATATTACATACCAGTCTTGGATCTTCCTCACTAAGTACTTTAAGTTCTCCTCATTTTCAGCAAGCAAAGAAACATCAGCCACGCATAAAGGCTGTTATTACTCAGCCTTCATACCCTGGTGCTGTAGTCTCCTTCATACAGTTCGGCTTTTCAAATGATTTGCTCAGCATACAGAGCGAATACATATGGTGAAAGGATACAACCCTGATGCACACCTTTCCTGGTTTTAAACCACACAGGATTCCTTTTTATTTTTCTTCTTCTTCTTTTGTCATTCCACTGCCAGGAGATCTATGTCCAGGTTCCAATCAGGTGTTCTGGAATTCCCATTCTTCACAATGTTAGCCACAATCTGTTGCGATCCATATGGTCGAATGTCTTCGCAAGCCTCTTTCTAGTATTCTCTGCTCTTGGCCAAGAGCCACCTGATGCCAGCAATGGTCCGCCACATCCTCCTCTGAACCTGGCCTGGATTTTTGGCAGTTCCCTTTCAATGTACTGCAGAACCGTTTTTGACTGATCTTCAGTAAAATGCTACTCGTGTGATATTAATGATAATGTTTAATAATTTCCACATTCTGTTGGGTCGACTTACTTTGGAATGGGCACAAATAGGGATCTCCTCCAGTGAGTTGGTCAGGTACCAGTCTTCCTATTTCTAGGCACAGACGAGTGAACTTTTTCAGCACTGCATCTGTTTTTTCAAACATCTTAGTTAGCATTAAATCAATTCCTGGAGCCCTACTTTTTGACAGTGCCCTCAAATGCAGCTTTGGACTTCTTCCTTCAATACCATCAGTTTTTGATCATATGGTAGCTCCTAAAATAGTCAGCCAATTCTTTGTGGTAGAGGGACACTGTGTATTCCTTCCACCTGCTTTTGACGCTTACTGCATCCCTCCATATTTTGTCCTTAAGATCCTTCGATCCTGCAACTCAAGGCTGGAGCTCTCTTCAGTTCTTTGAGCTTGAGAAACACCAAGTGTGTCCTCCCTTTTGTTTTCTGACGCCAGGTCCTGTCTTCTCAACCGCCCTTTGCAATCTTCTGTTCGGTTCTTTTCCTTAATTACACCTTCCACTGGCTTTAGCTACTCTATGTTCAAGAACAAGTTCTACATCTCTTCTTGATCTTTTCTTTCTTTCCTGTCTTTTTAATGACCTCTTGCTTTCTTCGTGTATTAAGAGCTTATGCATTAGTGAACGAAAATGGAGTGGTGTGGCCATTTGGAACCAGACAATTATCCAGCCTAGTATGCTAGACATGAAAAATTGAAGAGGAATAAAGTCAAATTAATCATAAAAAAGAACGTCAAAATATATCCTGAAGAACAATGCTATTAGTGATAGGATAATATTCATACACTGCTAATGAAGACCAGTTAATACAACTATTACTTAAATTTATGTCCCAAAGAAAAAATTTAATAACCTCAATAGTATGAAATTGATCAAACATGCAGTCAAGATGCATAAATAATTACAGGTGATTGGAATGTGAAAGTCGGAAATGGAGAAGGGTCAGTAGTTGGAAAACATGGCCTTAGTGACAGAAACATCTCACGAGACTACGAGACAGAATTCTGTAAGACTAACAATGTACCCATACAAAGATCTTTTTTTCCCACAACATAGTGACTATATACATAGACCTCACTGGATGGATACACAGAAACCAAATTGTTTATATCTATGAAAAGAGACAACGGAGCTCAATGTCATCAACAAGAACGAGGCCATGGGGCTGACTGCAGAACAGACCACCAATTGCCCACAGGGAAAGTCAAGTTGAAGATCGTCAAGAAAATTAAATAAGACCTCAAGAGCCAAAGTGTGACCTTGAGTACATCCCGCCTGAACTTAGAGATCATCTCAAGAATAGACCGGATGGCATTAAACGCTAATGACCAAAGAGTTACGGAAGGACACCAAGGGCCTCACTCATGAAGGGAAAGGCCTGGGCCTCACAGGCCTGGCCAAGGGACTGCATGAAATGAAGCATCAGAGCTATGGGTCACTGCAGCATCTATTCTCTTTACCTCAGTCGCATGAGTATTGTCATGGTCCTCAGGGAAGCAGCTGAACGGTATGTGCAAAGACTCAACTTCAAGATGGCCCCTGCAATGCCTTCGGTAACGGCAAGTTACTAAAATGCCCAATGACAGGGCGCAGGTGAAGGAAGTTATAATGAACGCATCTCACTTTGTTGCAAATGGGTTTATCAAAGGCAAACGGCGGTTTAACCACCCCAGGATCTGCAACCACAGGTGATTTGTTTTTATCTGAACATCCGACCTTTGCTACATAGATGTCAAGCTAAAAGACTTTCATTAAATTCTATTATATTGTATTATTATAAATTATATTATAAATGTAAATTATACTAAACACATTTCCCTTTAATGTCTCAAACTCTGTGCCAGTCAGCACAGTGCAGCATTGGCTTAAGAGATCTCCCTAGAAGAAAAGAAAACCTCCATCTCTGATGTGAAAGCAAACAGGTGGTGGTCAGCTCGGATGGGGTTCCCTGACAGTGCTGGTGAGCTCGGGACCACTGCTTACACACACACACCCCCCACACCCCCAAATACCAGCCAGTGCTGCAACCTTGGCTATTCATCACTCCCTCATCTACCTCCTGCTCCTCCTGTCTACTGTGGGGGACAGCTGAAGGCACAACAGTGACAGATCCAGTTCCTGCCCTTAGTACCATCACAGGCAGGGACAAGAACCAGGCATTAGAATAACCAGCACCTACTGAGTCCTTGCTGTGGCCTGCTCCCTGCCCTGCCCCTCACACTCAGGCACGGGCAGGGCCCTCAGGCTCACGTCACAGGGGAGGACAGCGGCCCATGGAACCTCCAGATCACTGGGTGGAGGAAGAGCTGGAGAGGCGGCACAGCCAGGGTAGAAGTGGCCCAATGAGTCGGGCCTCACACCATCTGGCACCAGGAGAGTTCAGGGTCTGGGTGTGGGAGGATGGGCCACTGGAGGAGACTGGAGCTAGGGGATCAGGTCTGGATTCAATGACCATGACGACTGCTGGTATGGATGGTGGGCCGGGGGCCAGGGGAAATCGAGTAGGAGGCAAAGGAGCTGAGAGTGAATCCCAGTTGTTCAGGGGCTATCTGTTCTTCCCTCTCCCAGTCATACCCTCAAAAGTCAAGCAAAAGTGGCCCCAGTCCCTGGCCCAATAGCTGCTGTGGACAAATCTCCGTTGACCCCAGAGAAACTCCAGGAGGAATACTGGATGAGTGGGAGGTCCGAGGTCTTCGTGTCAGGCAGAACAGGAAAAGACGATGTTTTAGACCCCAACCTTCATGCCCTCAGCCCTCACTCACTCTTTCACGGACGCACTCACTCAGTGTTCAAAGAAAGCCCCTGGCAGGCCAGATCCTGACACAGTGGGACCCGAGGCAGCCTGACTCCAGCCTCCAGACAATGTAAAAACCAGGGCCATCAGGGGGTTGACTGACTCCTGGCCACCCAGCCACCCCACCCCAGTCAGGGCCCGGAGTAAACCTGTGCTCAGAGGGTTTTCTATAGGTGATCTCTCAGCAGTTCATCGCCAGCCCTTTCTTCCAAGGTACCTCCAGGGGCACTTGGACATTAACTGTCTGCCCCACCACCCAGCGGCTCCCCAGGGAGTGTGTGCCTTCCCACCCCAGGAGCAGAAAATGACCTGACCAGGAGTGTCGAAGAAAGTGTGGACAGCTGACTGGGGCCTTAAGTTAAGAGCACCTGAGGCCAAACACCTAGATTACAAACCTCGGACTTCCCTTCTGCAAGGAGCAGGCACCGCAGATTTTGACCAGGGGAGCAGAGGTGCTGCCCGCCAACCGTTGGTGGTGGCTGTCCCAGAGAGCAGGCTCCCTTGGCAAGGGGAGGCATTACCTTCATGTGGACGGCAGCCGAACCAACGAGGAGCAGGGAGTCTCCATCCCAGACATCTATCTGCAGGGTCTGCACGGCCAGGTACCTGAGGAACCAGCGCTGCTCCCCCGGCTTCAGGAACGCCGGGTCCACCATGTACTTGAGCTGGAAGCCAGGAGGCCCTGGGAACAAAGGCAACCGCAGGCGGCGTGAGAGGGGCTGGCTCATTCATCACGGCCAGACGGTGCTGAGATTTCCGCTCTGATCGTGAGAACGAACTGCTTCCATCACGGCTACGACTCAACGAACTCATTAATCACCACAATACTGTGCACCATCCAAACGCACAACAGGAAGCGCGTGCCTGGCGGCCAGGTTCCCTTCCAATTCTTGCCGTCAGCTTCTTCTCAAGCACGACTTTGGGTTTCCGCCCTGCCCTTGTCAAACAGGCTGCAGCCGGGCGGGAAGCAGGGGCAACAGACGTTATCAATCTGGGCGCCCGGAATTACGGGACAAGCTGTTCTTCACCTGTCACCCAGACTGGATGTGCGCGCACGCATGCACGTATACACACACACACACACACACACACAGAGCTGAGTGGAGACGAGCCTGAACACCCCAGGGAGGAAGTCGAAGTCCGTGTACGTCCATTCTGTCCCCTCCCCGCACACGCTCACCCTTGGACCCTCTGTGAGGCTAGGCTTTGCACCAGCCCTCAGGCACGAAGGGGTGGGAGCAGCGGCATCCTGCCTGCGTCATTCCCAGTGGACTAAAGCGCCACTGGGATGGCCATCAGTCGGGTGTGGGGAGCAGCAATGCTGAGAAAGGCCGCCGAAGGCACATTTCCCCCTTTCCAGCCACACCAGGGACAACAGCTGGGGCCCCCCTGGGTGAGTGGGACACCTGCCTCCTCGGGACCTGTGTGCTGGGCCCACTGTCAGACCCGGGTCCCTTCACCCGGTCCCAGCAGAGATGGCCAAACCATGTTCCCCCATGACCAGGGACAGTGTCTCGGTGGGAGGGTGAGGCAGTGGGCTGGGTTGCAACAGCCAGCCTGCAGGTGGGGCTCTGGCCCTGGCGGGTGAGGCTAAGCAAAAGTGGGGTTTGAGAGGGCATCTCACAGGGTGAAAAGGGGGGATAAAGACCAAGAGGTGCTGGCCGCAGAGGTTGGGCCCAGCTGACATGTCCCCAGGGAGCAGACCGCACCACAGCACCAGGGGAGGCCAGGGACACTGTGCTCAGTGACTCCAGGCACAGGCCTGGCTCAGTCTCACAGGGAGAAACAGGCACGCCCGGCCCCCTGTTCAGACACAGGCGGGTTCCAGCTCTTTGGATCCACCTTCCCAAGTGACACGTGTAAACCTGCTCTTCCTTAGGGGTCTTTCCCAAACAGAGAGAGGATGAGAGAAAGACTAAACTCCAGAGAGAGAAACAAACAAGAAAGATGTGATGAGACGTTTCAGAGGCGCACACAAACACACACACACACACACACACACACACACACACACACACAGATACACAGCCCTAAAGAGTATAAAGACGCTCAGCGTCCCCTGCTGTGGAGCCTATCAATCACACCCTCAGACTGCACACGGATCCAGTATAGCAGCCCAGGCTGGGAGGAGGTGGCCATGGCATGCATTCTGCGACCTCATCCCTCATTCCTCATGGGGGGCACAGAGAGGTAACGCTGCGGAAACCTTGACTCTACCAGTCTGTAGTCCCCGCCTAGAAACCCAAAGTAAGGCCACAGCCCTCAGCCTGCCAGTGGGGTGCTGGCTGCAAACACCGCGTAGCACCTACCCGAGGGAGGGAGCAGTGTGCAGAGGGGCAGCCCTGCGGACCCCACAGCCTCCCTAGGGCACCAGACTCCAGGGGAACCTGCGGACTGAGAGGAACAAGCAGCAGGAAGGTGCATTTGGAGGTGTGACCTTTTGTAGGAGGAGGGAAAGAGGAAATAAGAACACAAACAAGCATTTGCTTATTTTGTCGCCACCTGCCCATGAGCACCCCCAAAAACAACAACACACACACGCCAACCACACCACCTAAAACCACCGCCAGCAAAGAGAAGAAGATCGGGAGCAGAGGGGCAGGCAGGTGGGCCCCGGCGACCAGGGCAGGAGGAAGGCTGCAGGGTACAGGTCACTTTGGTTTTGATTTCTGTATGCGTTTTGGAGAAGCAAAGGTAAACGTGAAAACTCACAGAAGCAAGTGAACAGACTGCGTGTCCGGCCAGAAGCCCAGCCGCCTGGAGAGAGAAGGCTGTCCGGGGGCTTCTGAGAGGCCCCACCCAGCTGGCCGCCGGAGACAGGCAGAACTGTGAAGAACCCCTCGTCCCCCTGCCCCCAGACCCAGGTGCATGGAACGGTACTATTAGGGTGAACGTCGGCAATGTCAGTGTGAAAATCCATTCCTCGAGGGAGCAGGACCCAGCCAAGTGCTTCGAAGGTCCCGGCTGAGAAAGCCATATCAGCCAGTCCTGCCGGGCACGTGCAGGCACTGTGAGCCGAGATCAAGTTGACAGTGCCCAACAGCACAAGCGGAAATTAGAAGGTCAAGTCGAGTGAGCATGTGCTCAGCAACAGTGATGTTCACTGTAGGAAGGAAAGAATACAAATCAGCTTTCAAGGGTAAAAGGGGGGGTGGGGTGGAGACAACCTCTGCATTTGTGTTGGAAAAATGTCACTCTGAAGTCAACAGTTAGTGTGTCTCCATCCCCAGCTTGGGCCAGGGCAAGGCCTTCCTGCCTCGGCCATGAAACTCAGAACCAGGAGCACCCCAGGGCTCATTTCTAAAGGCATGTCCCCAGTTGTGTGTCCAGGCTGGCACCAGGATTGAGGCGGAGAGAAGGTGCCAGACAAGCCTGGGCCAGTGTGCTGCTGCGGACAGCGAGGAAAAGATCCAGGTTCATTATGATTCTTAACAGTAGCAAACTTACAGTTACAAAGTAGCAACGAAAATAACTGTATGGTTGGGGGTCACCACAACATGAGGAACTGTATGAAAGGGTGGCGGCATGAGGAAGGTTGAGAACCGCTGACTTAGAGCACGTCAGGGGGGCTCAAGGTCCACCTGAAGGACTCCCGCTGGGCAGGTGTGGGGACACGGCCGCATCAAAAACAAAGAAGGACGGAGCACAAACCACACGAAAGCACAAGGACCACAGTGGGGTGACTGACGCCAGCTTCTGACCCCGAGATGGGGGACCAAGGGGAAGAACTGTACTTCCGCCCATCCTCTCTGGAGGCGGTGGGCAGAGCGGCCCGGGCCGGAGGGGGAAAGCTCTCTTTTCCAGGAGAATGGCAGCCACTGAAGGGAGGCCAGATGACAGAAGTCAAAAACTACCATTCTGGAAATTCCAGTGAAATCACTTCCTCACGCAAAGCTCCGTCATGCTTAAAACAGCAGGCGGGCGGTTGTCGGAGGAGAGAGCATCCCGCAGTGCCCAAGCACAGCCCTGCAAATTCGTGGCAAAGGGGAAAACGCCTCCCCCAGGAGGAGCCCCTGTGGCCCAGCACCTAACCCGAGACCACACTGGGACTCCCGGGTGATGGAACAGAAAGCCTGACACCATTCTTCGTTTAGAATACGCATGAGTTCTGCAGGCCCGCATCCACTGCCTTCCGCTCCTCACTAAGTAGCATCCCACAGGACAAACTATCCAGCGGAACCTGTCAAGAAGGCCTAAGTCCAGGTCAGGGCCCTGCATCCGCATCGAGGTGGCAAGGGGCTGGGGCAACGCCAGCAGAATGAACCCCCTCCAGGAGGGGGCAGAGGCCACTAGGAAGCAACAAAACATGAAGGTTACTGTGGTGGAGTGAGATGTCTTCATAGAGCTCTTCGACCCAAGTCTCTGTAACTCCCACCACAGGGCCGAGTGGGACTACACAACTAGGGTGCGTGTGACATTGAGAGAGGGATTGGTCGGTGTTTGTTAGCACCCTCGGCTATAAGGACTGGTCATCTCTGCATGGGGGCAGAGAAAGAAACGTGGGGGACCTTGGAGGCACATTCGAGACCTCTGTCTGAAGTGGCAGAAGCGGCAGAGACTAGTGCATCACGGGCTGGAGCGCAGAGACGCAGCGCCTAGGCCATGGGGTATCTTCTCCTTAGCTGGCCCCAGACCAGGGAGCTGTGGGACAGAGTGACAGGCAGGCTGGCTTCCTGGCCCATGGAGGCAAAGGCCAAAGGACCACAGGCCTGAGAGACTGAGAACCAGAGGGAGACTTGGCTACCATTTGGCTAAGATGCTAAGAACCAGAGGGAGACTTGGCCGCTGGCTGAGGAGACCAATGATACTCCTCTTCCTGTTGGCTGACCCTGACCCATGGTAACCTGTTAACTTCTCTGATAAACCCCGTACTCGCGAGCACTGTCTGGGAGATCTGCGTGGCCACCACAATGAACGACCAACCCCGCGTTGAAGTAGAGTGGCATGGGAGGAATGATTGGTTTCAGAACAGGTCAAGGATGGAGCGTGGAGTCTGAGCCCTGCCTTGTGGCAAGAAGGAAGGCAGAGGTCAGACATGTCCACCTCCACTGCTTGTTTCCTACAGGCTTTCCCCCCACTCACGCACTGCCATGGAGCCGATGTCAACACACAGCTACCTATAGGCCTGGGTTTCTGAAGCCTACCACTGTAGCTACAGCCTCAAAAATTCTCCCTGCCATTGCGTCACTTCTGACTCACAGAGACCCTATTGGACAAGGTGGAGACTAACTCGTTACCAGAGTAGAAAGCCTCACCTGTCTCCCGAGGAACAGCTGGTGGTTTCGAAATGCTGACTTTGTGGTTAGTCGCTCACCTGAAGAAAGGTGGGTGACAAAAAGAAATGGCAATGGTACTCGGACTTCGGCACACCGAGTAACTGAAAACCCCCAGCTCAAGCGGCCGGGGCAGAGGCAGCACCAAGCCCCGAGGGTTGCAGAAGCATCCTCAGCAGCTTCGGGTTGGGAGTCTGCAGTTTCTACCACTGGACCCAATACAGGAGCACCTCGGCTTGATCCTGCTCACAGTAGAGTGTGGAGATCCAGAGGCAGCGCCCCCACACTGTGCACCCTCAGTGCCAGGGCAGAGACCTCAAAGGGAAAGTGGGAACCCAAAGGCCCTGTTTGTGCTAGATGGGGAAGAAACATATCACAAAGAGAACTGAGGTTGGGGCTCCCAGCACTA